CTTACCTCATACATTAGAATTATTCAGTAAGGATCCAAGAACTGTTATTCAGAAAAAGTTATGCCCTCTTGGCTGATTACTATAATCTAATTTTGGGCTGGTAGTGAGTATGTCGGAATCTATCTCGTCAATCATTATTAAACCTCTCTATAAACATTCAGTATAGTCTGTGTGAATGTTTAAGGCCTTAGCGATGTTGTTACTCAGTAAGGCTAGGTCTGGCTCTAATGTAGTAACCTCGGTAAGGCCTTAAATCACAGGCTTTTGAAGATTCAAAAAACTCAAGTGTACCATATTGAAGTATTAAAGTAAGATAAAAATTAACGGTATCAAGTACCTTTCACTGATTATTTTATTGTAATCATTACAACTATTGGGCGATACTTTTCTTCCTTCACGATCACTCTACTACGTATTCGCTCCAACATGTCCTTCACGTAGTTTCCATGAGAAGATTAAAATTTCTGTGATTATCCTTATTGCTCTTGAAGTTGTGCACTACATATTCATTGTAATACTATATTGTGCTTCGTGGCCTAACATGCGAATCTCAGAGCACTCAAAAATTGATTAAGGGATTTCCCTCTGCAGTGTTTGCAACATGTTAAGACTTCCATTTATCGGCAGTAGGTTTACCTCCTTCCAGCAAAAAACTTGTCTAAGATTTCTGGCGCTACTTTATTTTTATTTGCACTTTCTGGAAAAATGCCGAACTTTTTCTTTTTTTGACTCAACCTAAGCCTACAGAAATCTCGCTCTGAACATCATGGCTCACGTCATGTGAAACCCACCAGTCATTTTGAACGACAAATCGTCGAAGAAACTTTCTTTTTGCTTTTTTCCATTACTGCTATTGTTGCTATCCACTACTGCTGCAACATCCTAATGTTGCAACCTATTATTTCTAATAGAAAACAAAGAATTAAAAGGTCTATTTAAAAGATGTGCTAATGTTGTCTTTTCTTGTCCTCTAACTCTGCGGACTGTTCAGTAATTTTAAGAACTTTACTACTGTCCATCCAGATTGTTTTGTGACGGAGAAAATGCCGAGCAAAAAGGGATGGTCGTCGTTGGCAATTCGATTCGTGATATTTTTTCCGTTGACATATTTTTAAAACCAATTTTTAGTGCTTAGCGAGTTACGCCAGAAAATGAGTAACGAAACGAGTCTTCAAGACGATAATGTTTGGTTGATGGCTTCAAGCTTTACTATCTTTACAATGACTGCAGGTTTGTCTACTTGCATTAAAATATTTAGAAACATCGTAAATAACGTATGCACTAGCAACTACGCTGCATAATAATCATATATTTGCACTGAGCGAGATCGCTAAGACGAAGTGCATGAATCAACACGTTCAAATCAAAGTTTAAACCTACCCTGAAATTCCAAATATAAGAGCATATAAGAGCTTAGAATATAACTTAGTAACAATTTTGGTATTTCTTAGAATCTTGTTGATTCAGTGGTTGTTATTAAACCTAATTCAGTTTTATTCTAAAAAAGAAGGGAATTTCTTTACAGAAAAGCGAGTGTTTGTTCAAAAATTAAACCGCTGTTATCGATGGAGTTTCAGAGCAAATGAATTTCTTACTATGCACTTACAATAGTATTATTATAAATTTTCATGAGAAATCTCTTTCTTAAGGCGTATGCAAATTTATGAATAAATACACTGAGTCTCTAAACGTTTTCTACACCAAGACTATATACTTTCAGGGTTCGGCTTATTAGAATCGGGGCGTGTTTCTTCCAAAGACGAGGTAATGTGATGGTAAAAAACGTTTTTGACGTCATCTTCGGAGGTAAATTACACTTGAAATTATGGATTGGAATGCTTTACAAGACATACACATTCATAAATTGCCGAAATACAATAAAACATAATGGCGATTGGTGGTTCTTTTTGGTTATCCGGGGACAAATGAAAAAACGGCTCCATTTGCCGGTGTTAGTAATCATTCAAAAGCTGAATTTTTTGGCTGCTGGCTTTCGAATGATTTTTAACAACCTTACGTCTTGCTCAGCGAAAAGGTTTATTTTTTCCATTTATCTCCAGGTAACGGGAAAGATCGAGTTTGGTATGAGAGACAACTTTCCTTAAAACTCAGAACCGCCAGCCGTAATATTTTCTTGATTGATTAAGCTAACAGGGGCAAGTGAGCCTTGCTCGCTAAGGTTTCAACTTCTTCGTCTCTTCAGAGCTGATGGTTCAAGGCATGATTCGTTCTCGCGTTTTGATTGTCATTTGAGTTGAATATTCTTCTATGGAGTCTCTCTCGAATGAGGTAACCTTACTTGGAATCTGAAGAAGAAGTCGGAAACGTTAGCCGAAAAGTGTGCTTTTGATGACGACGTGGGCCATAAATCATTCTTGCGACAGGTGGCTCTCATAGCCACCGAATAATTAGAAAAGAGAGAATAGGGCTTCGATGGTGCCGAGCCAACAAGCCGTTTTTTGAGGAAGGTACACTTTTCTTTCATTACTCGCCTTCCTGATTTTCCTCTTTCAGTAATGAAGGACACTTTCACGGTAGCGTATTGATCTTGATCCACACACTGCTGCTGGCGCGTTTAGGATCGTACATCTTGACTTTGATTCCCAAGCTTTATCTTTGACTCTTGTGTCGCATGGAGCTTTCACCTCAGATTTTTGTTGTCGTCTGACAACCTGTCGAGCACAGATTTTATACTGAGATCGGCCTAGGTCTCTCAATGTTTTGAAGCTAGAAACAACGACATTAGTAGAGAGTTGTAGTCCTGTCAGTTCTTAAGTACTTGTGGTCCTATGAAAAGCTATCTATTGTACTTTAAGAAATGATTCAAAAACTCAGATCCCTGGCTACTGCCCTACGTCACCGCTTTTTTTTTTGAAAAAGCCTTTTTATAACGCTGTAACACAAAGCAAACAGATGTGTTTCACACACGCATATTTCTGGAAGGATTAAACTCTTTTCTCCAAGTATAAGTAATCATTCGATAACCAGTTTTGAACGATTCTAGTGCTGTGCGTGTTTTCTGAAAAGACCGTTTCATTGCAGCTTAACAAGGAAAATAAGAATGAGTTTCACATGGACGGCACATTTGCTTGCTGGCTAGTGTGTGTTGGCTATGGACCGATAACGCGCGACCGATAGATAATGCAAACGTGGCTGACATGTGGGGTCCTTTTTTGTTATTCGAATCAGAGTTTTTCTCTGCTTTGAAGAAACTCCACATAAAACGTATGACTCTGATACTGCAAGATTTTCTCCACATGTTCATGACTCTTTTCGTTCTCCCGACGAAGCAATAGTAAAGCGCTTGGCCTATATAAATGGCAGTATTATCTTAGATAATACAGCGTTATTAAAAGCTTTTTGTAAAAATGGCCATGTGGTGCAGTAGCCAGCGATTTAGGCTTCCAAATAATTACTAGAAGTGCAATAAAAAAATCTTGATGGCACCATTTTTACTTTAAGAATTGATGAGACGACAACCTTCCATAAGGGTCGGAAAAACATTTCAGACAAGGGCATGGAATAAGTGTTTATATAAGAACTTAAATAGGCACACATACACTTTAAATGCCACATAAAACGATGACAACAGCGTCTATTATAGTGGCCTATCATAGAGATTTTGTGCAATGACAAAGTGGTGTTCAAGAATGTTGACGTTACGCACAAGAGCATTGCAGATCCATATTATAGAAGCTAGAAAGACACGTCGACAAATTTGAGGAAGTCGAATAATAGAACGGTATTCTCAAAATTAGATGAACCGTAAATTTTGACAGGGCTCATGGGCCGTACATTTTGATTTTATTACGGAATTCGATCACACTCCAATAACACTCTGTCTAGTTAGTCTGACCCAGATTGTGAAGAGTAATTTTTAGTTCACCGTTAACACAGAATAAACCAGCAGCTCACTTGACATGCACGAAGACCATCAATTCATCTTATTAGAATCTGATGAATGAATTGTGCTTCATAATGATTATACGCTTAGTAATGCTTGACGGGGCTATCTCTAATGGCTATTGTCTGGTAGCTTTCGTTGAGCAGCGTTGCACGTCCATTCACTCGAAGTTAACTTCTTGCTATGTGTAACACAATATTCATAATCTTCTGTAGATGACGTACGCCCATACCCAGAATTGCTTAGTTCACTGGCTTGAAAACTATGTAATCATCGCATCGCCCAAAGAGCAGTTAACTTAAGGAAATTGATCACATTTCGCTCTTCTACCACAGCTGAAAAATATTCTAATGTTGCCTTCTCTATTTAAACGCTCAAATCGGTACATTATTGAATGTACCCGGTATGGATGAAAGGCGAGTTCGATTCCCGCCAGAGGCCGTGTTTTGCTCACCACTCAATTTTCTTGGGTATATAAGTAGCACAATTGAATACTTATCTTAATTAGTAATGTAAAGGAGCACCGTATCCTTTCCAGTCTCCTTATGTTCGGCTAACATGCAGTTGAATCTGTCAAAAAAGTCATGCTTTTACGCGATATTTTTAGCGGACTATGTAATTGCTATTCTATCTATCTCGCACTAAACATTCATGTTTTCGAAAATGTGGCCTGGACAAGCAATACAAGTCTCTTAATTGAATCATGTGTAGCACGTGAACCTCTGATAAGATTAATCAAGAATTGAGAGTTTGATGCCCTTTCGCTTGGCTTTGCTCATGTCCTACCTCCTATAAACCCAATGATGTAGAGTGGCGTGCAAAAACGTTTGCGTTAGCCGGGATCTGAACCCAAATCTTACTCTTTTAGGTAGCATGTGCTAAACCGTTGCACCACTGATGCTCGTTTTGCACGCCACTGTTTCTACGCTACAACGCGCTATGTGTCAACAGCCAACCGTCTACGATGTGGCGGGGGTCATTATCGACATTGAACCCACTTATTGACAGATATTTGGTTTCATTAATCAATCGGAAATCATCTTAACCACGACTGCGGTGTTATGATGTAACGTAGAAAGAGTGAAGTGCAAAACGAGCGTCGGTGGTGCAACGGTTTAGCACATACTCCCGGAAAGAGTAAGGTCTGGTTTCAAATTCCGGCTAACGCAAACGTTTTTGCACACCACTCTACATCATTGGGTTTATTTGAACATCATAGCACCGAATTTGGCGGTCAAATAAGATGATTTCCGATTGTTTACCTCCTATATTTGTATCCACCACCGTATTCTGGCACAAAAATAACAGGTAATTAATCCTAATAACCTGGTGGTAAAGTTACCTTCCTTTTGAACATCTCCCATGATAATTGACAGTGTCAAACTGCAAAGCGACGAAGTTTTATTGATAGCTTGTTGAAGAGCTCAGGCAGGGCTTCTGAGAATTTAGTATATATTGTTTTGCTATCTTTCATGAGTCAGCTAACTATTCGATAAGTGATTCATGGCATCGACTGTTTTTAAAACATCGCAATAAACATTCAATCTAATTTTGAAATTCTTGAAATCTTACCCGAATTTGGTACGCCAGGGTCATACGCCGGTGTTTCGGAGGTTTCGCCCTCCTCGTCAGTGACCCACGCCCTACATTAAGCCCTGCATTGTAGCAAGGAAGGAGGCGAATGTGATGACGGCACAGTGTATAATGACACTGTGCCATCACCACTTCTTAGTCGATGGATCTCGGCACATAAGCCTTCCTCCTTTCTACAGTGCAAGGCTTAATGTGGAGCGTGGGTCACTGACGAGGAGGGGGAGACCTCCGAAACATCGGTGCATGACCCTGGCGCATCAACCTCGGGTAAGGCTTCAAACATTATTCAAAATATCCTTTCATTATTATTTGAGCCAACATGTCATGTGGTGTGGTAAAGGTTCTTGTACAGCCCGAGACACGTGTTTCGTCCTTACAGACTCATCAGCCGGGCAGAACCCGTCGTCTGTCGATCTTTTCATAGTCAGTTCTCTCGGGAGCGTCACACTCCTTATATATAGTTATCGACGACCTACGCTTTACACTCCATGTCAAGTGAAACATTCACTCAACACAGAGTGTTTTTCGCACTCGATTGCTAGCTGGCTGGTATTTTATCATATTATACCTTTCCTTCGAGTGCTTTATTAAGACCACGCTCAAATTTCAATAGATCCTCTCATTATTATTTGAGCAAACATGTCATGTGGTCTGGTAATGTTGAATGTTTCACCTGACATGGAGCGTAAAGCGTAGGTCGTCGATAACTATATATAAGGAGTGTGACGCTCCCGAGAGAACTGACTATGAAAAGATCGACAGACGACGGGTTCTGCCCGGCTGATGAGTCTGTAAGGATGAAACACGTGTCTCGGGCTGTACAAGATCCTTTACCAGACCACATGACATGTTGGCTCAAATAATAATGAAAGGATCTATTGAAATTTGAGCGTGGTCTTAATAAAGCACTCGAAGGAAAGGTATATTATTCAAAATTAGATTAAATGTTCATTGCGAGGTCTTGGAAAGCAGTTGATGCCATGGATCAATTCTGTTCCACCAGCCAAGATCTATCAGCTGAGATGTGATGATGGCACAGTGTCATTGCTACACTGTGCCGTCACCCACATATGCCTCCGTCCTTGCTACTGTGTAAGGCTTAGTGTGGGGCGTGGGTCACTGACGAGGAGGGCAAGACCTCCGAAACACCGGTGCATAACCCTGGCGTACCAACATCGGGTAAGGCTCTAAACATTCTCAAATATTCGATAAGTGTAGGCAATTTCTCTCCGAAAAGGCTAATTTGCTTCATGATCACAGTTGAAATGGGGCTCTAATTTTGCACAATGTGTACTGAAATTGGCGCACTTCTTTGCGTTAACTACCATTTTCTTGGTCGACTCATTGAATCAGATTCCTTTCAAAAATCCGTGATTATGGAAAGAGTTTGCAATCTCGTGATGCCTTTTTTAAGTCAATTTCATTCAAAAATAAGTTGTTTTTATTAAAATTCGCTTCATAGTTCGGCGCTAATTTCTCGAGTATCTAAAGAACTATAGATCAACATATTAGTAAACAATTTACCATTTATTGAGGCGACTATTTCCAAAATTTCCGTATTTCATTACAATTAAGCAATCCATGATGTGACATACATCTTAATGAACTCATAGATGAAAAGTGAGAATCTTGATAGGATTATGAGATTTTTTTTTAGGACTGGCATATTGGATGCTCGGGTATGGGTTCACTTTTGGCCAGAAGTTAGTCAACCCTTATATCGGCGTTGGTGATTATTTTTTTGATCCAGAACGAGACGATGAGCTGTCCGTAGAGAAGGTTTGTGTTTAGCTTCAACATCTTATCCAAACTGTATTGGTTTCTTTTCAACTACAAAATTTCCACAGTTCTTTTCAGTTAATATTATACAATGAAGCTACTTTCCGTTGCAGTATCAATCAATCCATCAAAGACTTCTATATATACTCAAGGGAATTGAGTGGTGAGCGAACATTCGACCTTAGTCGAGAGTTGAAATCATGTTCCACCCATACCGGGAGTGGGTGTAGTGGTAGCACGCGCCCTCCGTATGGGTGAACTGCGGGTTCAACTCCAGCCTGAACTGAGGTAGAATTTTTGCTCACCATTGAATTTCCTTGGTTGTATATGAAACACTATAACACTGTGAAAAAGTACTTAGAACATAAGAGAAATTGAGTATTACCATCGAAGAGCTTTACAACTTCCTTGAAAAACTTTGTATTTTTCGTCATTCCTGAAATTACTTCATCATAGTAAACTTGCAGCGTGTATAGCATATTTGTAAAAAGATGGCTCGAAATACACACATAAGCGTTTGTCCAGTCCAACGCCTAATGCTCTCCGAATTTTCCATGTCTGCAAAGTCCGCAGAATTATACTAGTTTGCAGCACCGACCTGATGCATCGGTAGGCCACCACAAGTCATATGGAGTCTTTGAGAATGTTTTTAGCCGTAATCCGAGATTTGATTAGGATTTCATCCGTGGCAGCAGTTCCGCAGACGCGCGTGTTTCGGCGATTTCGCCATTATCAGTACAAATTTCTCAGCCAGTCGACCCTTGCCATAGAAATAAGCATGGAAGAATAATAAGCTGAAGTCAAGTAAAATTATCATTGACCAGTTTTCCTAGAACGATGCTTTGTGGCCGTTGTGCCGAACTGCTGCCACGGACGGATTTGATCCATACCTAGAAAAGACGCCTAAAAACATTTTCGAGACTAAATATGAATGCTTTAATGGGATTCTTACAGAAAAAAAGTCATCGAATACAAGACTTGGAGCGAAACCTGAAAAGTGCATATAACTATGATGTGATTTGGATGTTAAAAAACTCAGCTTCATGAACTGCCCATTTATATTAGTTATTGATTGAATGATAGAAAAGAAAAACTATTTTCAAGCATTTTTCAGCGTGGCGCATCATACGCAATTTTTTTATTTCAAATGAGTTTTGCTACTACGACGTCGACCATTGTATCAGGTATTTACGATCTTATGCTGCTCCTCTCACGTGCAGTAGTAACGATTTTATTCCTTGCTCGCGCTCCATTGCTAGCCCAGAAAGCTGGCAAAATCCAATGTCACTTTCGGTTTACCAAGCCGTTCTCACCTCTTGTGGCAAAAATCAGACCTAAAAAGTCTTTTTCAACGATAACTAATCGGTAGGTAAAATCAGCAGATCGCTGATGTTACGTGATTACTTATAATTAAGGGCAAGTGGGGGAAATTGACGCGGAGCATCTTCATCATTTATTTCACTTAATGTTTCTTGAAGTTTAATGGAAAAGACTGATACCTTTACCGCTGAGTTGAATCCACAAAAAGCATACCTTTGCAATTCTTTGATGTTACAGTCCGTCGTAGTTATACGCCGGAAGTCTATTCTTTTTTTTAGCTGGAATGGCTGAAAGAATACATCTTCGATCGTATTGCTTCGTGTCATTCTTCATTACTCTTGTGCATTCCGTGGCTGGTCATTGGGTTTGGCATGATAGCGGAGTCTTCAGAACGATGGGTGTTGTCGATTCAGCTGGTTGTAGTGCGGTAAATAAATCGTCTTCCGTCAAAAATGTTTGACTTTATACAAAGACGTTTAATTTTCTGCTTTGGTAATTTCACTGAGCTTCTTCATTAACTTCTTGAATACAGTTTGATAAAGATCTTTGATCTGGAAACACTATGTTGAGAATGTCCAAGAATTGATGACAATACACCATTACACTTCCCATAATATTTTTCTTTATTTTCTAATTCTCCTTGATGATAGATCTTGTGAACGCTATCAAAATGTCATCACATGTTTCATCAAAAACATTGAGTAGTACTCTTTCTGAGCATGCAACCTTATTTTGCACATAAATACCACAGACAATTCTGTGCAAAAGACTGCATGAGTCTTCTTTGATGAAAAAGAAGGATTAGAAGCTAAAAGGGAGAAAAAACTCATCCTTTCTCATGTATGTTTTTGGAACCCTGAGGCATGTTTGACGTCTACAGAGGTGAGATGACGGAGTGATTAGTGATGTACTCCATCGTAAAGCAAAGAGACAAGGTGTTGATTCTACCACTCTTCAACACTCTCCTCCACTTCACGTCAGAGTACCATAGCTCTGCTATCTCCAAGATTGCACGAGTAGTCGACTCACCATTGATTCTGTAACATCTATAAAAAAATGAAATCCTCAAGCAGTAATCGAAACATGAAGCGTAATGTTTGCAGACTTCTAATGACGATGAATGAGAGGAAACGAATCGAATGCACAAAGTGCTCCGATCCTCATAGTATTGTGATTGACGGGTTTTGTAAATTAATAAATCAAGGGAAAATCTTCATGGCAATTAGGAAAATAAGAAAAAGGATAAATATTAGAAGGTGGATCTGTTTTCATATTCTGCTTTAGGTTCACTTGGTTGGTGGGATCTCGGGCTTAGTAGCGACGTTGATATCTGAAGCCGCGACAACATCGCTTCCATGATAATCGCGCTCGGCAGATCAGCAATCCTACGAAGGCAATCTTAGTTGAGTAACCAGTACAACGATAATCAATTTATGTAACCTGCTCGAGCTAAGGTTCTAGTCGAGAGGTTAACTAGGATTATGAAGTGAACCAACAACTTCCAGTACTCGAATTACGTCGAATTTTCGGTATAGTAATAGCGTTCGTTCTTAATATATTACTGATAATTTCAAAGTAATAATAAAAGGGGAAATCTTCGTGTAAAGGGTAAAAATCTGAGGGTCTACTACGACACTATCAAGCAACTGAATTTACAGCACCCGACCATCCGGTGGACGACGTATTGCTGAGAGAAAAGATTTGAGCAACAAATTAGATAATGTTGTTGAGCGCATGCGCGATTAGAAGACACAATTTTGCTTAATCCAGCATTTTATGAATCACACTCATGAGTAAATCAGTTCTTCATTACGGTAACAGGTGTATTTGTATTAATAGTCATATGTGATCGTACAGAACACATCGTGCTTTTCGAGCTCCGTGATCGTGCTGTGTCTTAAAAGGTTGAAATTTCTTCATCAAAATTATTATTTGAAGAAAAAAGGTCCGAAGTGACTACGATCAGGTGAGACAGGCCACAAATCCAATGTCTATGTTTGTATTTTAGGATTTTTGATGATTTGGTGGGGTTGGCTGGCATTTAACACTGCTTCAAATTATGCTGTGTCTCAAAAACAGTGGGCGGAAGGATCACGGTAAGTTCATTTAGTAGTTAACCTTTCATTATTCATTAGTAAAATAATATAATAATTCTCAGCATAGTCTTCAATAGCTTTCACCAATCAGCGTTCTACAAAAATTTTTTTCACTTCGAGATTGGAAGAGTGTTCCCGCTAACCTCAGGTATCCCTACAAATGATTTCTCATCAAACCCTTAGTCTGCTGCTTTGAATTAATTGTTGGAAAATCTTCAACCAACAATGATCCTGTGCTTTGAAAGACAGAGGATTCTGTTCTACTCAAGAACGGCCGGAAAAAGTGTTAATGAGCTCACTGAGGCGATAATTGGTTTGAGTGGATTCATCATGGACTTGGTTTGGGGAATGGTTTTCCTGGTAGCTGTAGGAGTAGTCAGTTTCTGATTTGAGTTCACTGCCGATTCATTGGTAGCCGTTATAGTAAATTCCAAAATCTTGAGAACTTTGTTGTCACAAGAACCCGGTTTCGGCGAACAGACTATTAGAAATGTATCAAAAGATCGACTGTTTTTGAAACCCCCAAAAACATTCAATATAATTCCAAAAAAAGAATGATTTAAGCTCAAAAAAGGGGTTGGTAAGCCCAGGGTCATACACCGGTGTTTCGGAGGTTCGTCCTCCTCATCAGTGACCACCCTCCCCACATTCAGCCCTGCATTGAAGCAAGGAGGGTGGCGTATGTGGTGATGGCACAGTGTACTATGACACTGTACCATCACCACCTCTCAGTCGATAGATTTTTGCTGTTAGATCAAACTATATCAAAAGATCGACTGTTTTTGAAACCCCCAAAAAACATTCAATATAATTCCAAGAAAAGAATGATTTAAGCTCAAAAAAGGGTTGGTAAGCCCAGGGTCATACACCGGTGTTTTCGGAGGTTCGTCCTCCTCATCAGTGACCCCGCCCCACATTCAGCCCTGCATATTATATTGAATGTTTTTTGGGGGTTTCAAAAACAGTTGATCTTTTGATATAGTTTTGATCTAACAGCAAAAATCTATCGACTGAGAGGTGGTGATGGTACAGTGTCATAGTACACTGTGCCATCACCACATACGCCACCCTCCTTGCTTCAATGCAGGGCTGAATGTGGGGCGGGGGTCACTGATGAGGAGGACGAACCTCCGAAACACCGGTGTATGACCCTGGGCTTACCAACCCCTTTTTTGAGCTTAAATCATTCTTTTTTTGGAATTATATTAGAAATGTTGGTAAAGAAAAACGCCCATGACTCCAAGAAATCCGTATTTTTCCAGGGAAAAATTGATGCCTTACGAAAAACGACACATTTTCAGCTGTTCTTGCACATTTCATCCCCCGTCTTGTAAGAGTGTGACTTTAAAACACATAATCTTTGATGTAAGGCTTCTGAAAGGCCTGTCGTAAAGTATTCCAGAATGTGGCTGGAGAAGTGTAGGAAGAGCATGCATTCATCGCTAAGGCATTCCTTTAAAAGATGCCTGTTCATGATCTCTGTTTTCATCACACTTACTGATGTCGTAAATCTTCTGTCCAAAATATTTATCTAACAACTAAAGACTTTTAAATTGGCGTCGCTCAATAAGCAACACCACCAAATCAGTACCAGTCAGCAATTCACCATTCTTGCAGAAAATCTGTGCTATTCACACACAAGAAATGTTCAGTTTGTTGAAGAATCAATTTGTAAATCATAACCTTCAAAATCACTCATTATGAAGTCTATACCTATAGTGTAGTTTCCCTGTCGAAGGTATAAAACCTTTGCGGTCATCGTATTTCCGATGATACAGTTGGTGGATTCTGAAAAAGATAGCATCATAAACTCTTTGCACCTGATGCGTATTCGTCTAGTCTTTTTTCGAGCATAGGGACATTTTCCTAC